TAGGGGCAATAAAGAAGCAAATGGAGAAAGGAGGCATTTCTTTCTATTACTGGCTACACAAGAAAATATGTAGATATAGACTTGAATCAAAGACTTGCACTGGATTTCATCTGCCTGCCAGGACTTTGAAGTGCATATGGAAAAGTGGATAGTAATGTTTTCCTTCCTAATGTCTTTAAGATTCAGCATGTGAGTTGTATTGCTCTTTTAGATCAAGTCTGATAGCATTATATTATCTCATTTAAACATCTTAGCAGAGGCTGTAAAGGAAAGTGCATAGTACAGACAACAGATGCGTTCATTTTAATAATCTTTGTTCTCTTTTTCACAAAAGAAAATTGGAAGGTGATTTCTTCTCTATAGATCCCACATAACCTACTTACATGGATATTTAGTGTACCAGGACTGCACCTGTAGGAGGCAGCCTCTGGTGTGAGCAACTATTTAAAAGTATTACCAAGATTCTCAGTCCAGTTTTATTCATCCTTTAGGTAATGGCCTCTTCTTACTAAATGATGTAATTTACCTGGTTCCTTAAAACAGGCTTCACTGCTTTTAGCTATTCGCTTATATGAATTTTAACTCCTACTGAGAGTAGAGCACATATTTCAGATTTCATCTTGCTGGCATATGGTGCCAGGTGTCACTGTTCAGGGCAACTGCACCTGTATTTCACCTCAATGGTCCAGCAAGGGCACCTACTCTTAGGCTTCCAACTTTGCAGCTGTTGCCTCTCCTGGGTGGTGACCAACATCCCCCTCCCTTCTGCCCAGGATATTTCCAGGTTGCATAATTTCCTGTCTGTGCTGGGTTATTCAATAGAGGCAGGCTGCCAAAGCATACCTGCTTGCTTTCTCTTTAGAGACGGTTAACAGGTGTAATTGCTAAAATTATAAGTTACCACATAGCTCTTCCTATGCAAGCCTATTTTATCCTTAAAGTAAAAAACATTACAGAGACTACATATTAAAAGCAATAAAAGAACCTACACACATGCTAATCAGCTTACCATGGGTCAGCCCAACTCTAACATGGGTTCCAGCTGGAGCAGTTCTTCAAATCCCCACCCAAGGGGATTCCTTGTGGTAACAAGTTCATCAAAGCTTCTGCTCAGAACAGGCACACAGTCTTATGGAGCCTCAGTAGGCCCAGTCTTTTGCAACCCTTTTCAGCAGACTAGGGCCTGTCCATTTGCTGGCTCAGGAAGAAGGCCCTGAGGCAGTGTAAAACCAGACTATTCCTCCAAAATTCCTTTCTTTGCCTGTTGGTCCCTGGAGAATCCAGTTTGAACTAGTATAGGCACACCTCTCCAGGGGGTGGCTTCAAAGGTTGATAATGGAAGAAGTACATTAGCATCCCCTTCTCTGCTAGAGAAGGTACATAAAATGCCACAATAACACATACACAATTGCATTTTGAATGCAATTAAAAGGGCTGGAGCACCTATGGGGAAAAAAATAGCAATTAGCTGATAAGGGCCCGCCAAACAGCTGATTGGAGGCACCACCAAACAGCTGTTTGGCAGCTGGGAGAGGTACTTGAGGGAGAGTGGAGAGCAGTGAGTGGGCCAGGACCTCAGGGAGTGGGTGGAGCGGTAGGTGGGAAGAGTCAGAGTGTGGGCGAGGCTTCAGGGCAGAGCACTCTCGGGGAAAAGAAAAACTCAGCGCCTATGAATCCTACGTCAATAAGACTCAACTGAATTCAGTAAAGTTTATCTTAATTCCGTAAGGTTTGTTCAGGGGTATTACAGGATATTGTCAGTCTATCACACCAAGCACCCATGAATGAGCTGTTACAAAATGCACATTCTGGAACCCTTTTCTTATTTTTTTATGGCTTCTATCAATAGTGTTTAACAAAAATGTGTCTATACCTCTATTCTAAGATTTTTTTCTCCCCGTGAGAATTTTTAGAGTTTGAACATTTTTCTTGTACCAAATCAACAACAGAAGAAAAAAACTAGAAAATTTTCACAATCAGTAAACCTGGAAAAAAATCAGTTTGGTAATGATGAGAACTTTTTTTAGATTTTGGCCTTTTTTTATTTATATTTTTTCATTAAATTTAGATTTAACGTCCCAAACTGGGACGTTTCAGTTTTGAATAATCAGAATTTTCTGATGAAAAAATGTTTAATCAAAAATTTCCTGACCAGTTCTAATTACAAAGCTATTCCTCAAAGAGGGAATCCAAACCATCAGACAGAGTTTCCAATTCAATCACATTACATCTATTTATGCCAGCTAAAACTCTGATCTCATATTCATAACTCTAGCTCTCTTACTTAGAAGAACATTGTGCTGTAACTTCACAAGCTGGTTAACTTGAGAGCTACTCTTAGAAAACAATCGAGAGGTCTTATCATTCTATGCAGTGGGAAATAATTATGATGTATAGAGCTATAGAACTAGCATGACACAATCATCCGATTTAATTAGGGCTAGTAACTGAAAAAACCTCAGACTTAAAATCGTCAGGTAGCAGGGATGCATGGATGAAATCTACAGGGTTCTTCGATATCACTTTACGGTCAGCTGGATCAACCATGACTTAATTTTTGTTAATGACACTTTCTGAAATACTGAAAACAAATGAGTGAGCTTTGACAGCTATAGTAAATGGTTACAAATGGTTTATTATGAAGAAGGGCCATCCTGGTATGAGATCTCTTTGAAGTTTAAGAGAATGTAATAGAAGAGTGTTAAAACTGATGTTATAAGAGTATCACATAAAGTCTCACAAATTTGATAAATGTGAAGAGAGAAATGTACTGTATTAGCATTAGAGGATCATGTAATTTAATTCAATTTCACCAAGCTATTTCATTAACTAAAGAGCTGTTAGTGCTCATAACTGGGCCTGATGCATTAAACATTTACTGCAAGTACATCATGATGATATAGACCAGTTTTAAGTCTGGTTGCCATTACATTGGGAATTGATTTTTTTTAACCTTCATTTAAGAAAGATATAGCTTTCTTAAAATTAAATTTCTTTAAAATTACCATTCAGTTTTCTCATCTTAGAATGACTCTAATATGCTCACCAACAGCATCTTGTGCTTTTCCAAAAAGCCATTTCAAAATGTGGTGACTGGTAATATCTCATCAGAATTTCCATTGTCTTCTTTCCACGAAGGGGAATATGTATGTTTGCAATGGTCAGTTCTTCCAGTCTTCTGGAGAGATTTGTTGGTTGATTTCTTATCCTCATATTAACAAAATTGTCCAGGAGTTGTGTAGAAAAATGGTCAGACAATATACCTATGTTTTTTCCATGGAATCTTTGAATTTCCTTAAACAGTCCTCTGTTGGGGGAGCAATCTAATTTAAAGGCTATCCAATGCTTATGGTTCTGTAAATAATATTTAACTGCAAGAAGAAAGAATGAAGAGGAATGGTACAATTTACTGCCTGTATTAGATTAATAATTGGCCTCAATTATGCAATTGTCACAAAGCCATTTATAGAGAGAACAAACTGTTCTGGAAGAAGGAAAGAAGAGATAGTGGTTCGAGAGGCACAGTCTCTTTTATGGCTGTTGGATGTACACAGGGGACTTCAAATGGGACTATTTGTGTAAGATAATTTTCACCAACATGAATAAGGGTTCTGTATTCAGGTCCTATTAGTGAAATCCATTCAGACATTTTAATCTTTCAAACTGGAATTTAGCTTGCACTTTAAAAGTGGATTGAGAAGAGGAGAAATGTTATTTGAGCAGAGATTAAAGTAAAGTGTTCTCTCTGTGAAAGCCTGCTCTGAACACAAAGTCTTTGGATGTTATGTACTGCCATAAAAAAACAGCTTATAAGGAATACAATGGAGTTGGCAGGCAGTTCAGTAGCCTTGTAGAGATTAATCATTCATATTTTGTTTAATACTTTTTTTCACAATAATGTTGGTTGGATTAAATTAAGTCAGTGTTCTAGATTCTTCCTCTGGTTCTTTTCTGTTCTAAGCATTGTGTTATTTATTCATGAGGTGTAACTGCTTCACTACTTCTTTGAATATTCCTAGAGCCCTGCAAATCTGTGGATATCTGCTTTATATCTGCAGATATCCACGGACCGTGTTTGCAGATCGCGAATGGACGCGGATCCAAATTTTATACACCTTAGTACTATAGTTTGAGGACTCAACAATATTAATGTGTGAGAAGAACTGAAAAGCGTAGGGAAAATAGTGACTCAAAGAAAAGAGCAGAAGTAGGAAGACTCAACGACCTTGTTCCCAGTGCTCTGACCCTCAGCAGTTGTGGCGGTGGAAAAAGAACAAAGGGGCTCGTCACTTTTCTAACTTCGTTAGTTGCTCTGGAACTAGTCAGCAGGTTCACATAGCTGGTAGCATTTGTAAACGTCTTGAAATGGGAGACAGCATGAAACAGGTGATTCATCATAAGAAGCAGAACCTTTGACATCGGCGTCACTAGTTCAATTTCAGCCCCATTGGTGGTGACTGAATACTCTTACCATGTGGTGGTTGTTTGATGGAATGAGTTTGGTGGAGCCAGTCCAGTTCCTAGTGAGCAAATATCCACATCACAGAAACTACATTTAATACTAATTGGTACCCTTCTGGTGGTCTCAACAGAATGTTGTATGACTGAATGGGTATGGCAGACTTCAGCTGTAGCGATGGTCTCTCCAGACAGCACTGAAACACAAAACAATGTTTAGCACTTGTATAGTGCTTTTGTCTTCAGAGGGCTTTAATTATTTATCACATAAGTTACAACCCACATGTGTGATACTGTAGGCAAGTACTACCAGAAATTATGTAGGAAAGCTACACTGCCCATGGTATAGCAGTTTTATAGCTAAAAGAGGACTTCAGTCTCCTGGTGAGCAAAGACAATTTTCATGAACATTAATATCACAAAATTTGTCATTTGTGTTTTATTTTTTAATGACACTAAACATTCCACGTGATTATTTTCAATAACTTTTGAAAATAGTTCCTGTCTTCAATTTAATTTTTTTTTTCTTTTTGGTACAACAGAATAGCAGGCTTAGGAAACATGCCTTTGAGCTGAAAATGAATGACCTGACATACTTTGTGCTGGCAGCTGAAAATGAGCAGGATATGGATGACTGGATTTCCACTCTCAACAAAATCCTGCAAATAAATCCGGAGGGGACCATTCAGGAGAGGAAAAGCGCAGATCTCACAGATATTAAATTTGGTAAGAATTAATATATTTGCATTGCTTTTTGTGTGAATACAAAAAATGCATCTTCAGATTTTGGTATCAGATTGTTTTAACTGCCAGCATCTTTGATGGATTCTGCACCCAGAGCAGTATCGATTTTTGACAGAATGGCTCCAAAGCTTTTACATTGACTGAAAGTATCAGTTAACTCTTGGGGGTAATTTTCAAAGGGCTACGTGGAGTTTAAGCAGCACAGCTCCCAGTAAAGCAGTGTGAGTCATGTGACAGCCTTGCACATGTAGCTCTATATAAATAAATTGAGTCTTGCCTGTCGGTCTTCCATTTAATGTGTTTATGTGTATACTTTGTGACTTGCTGTACTGATATTGTCTGAAAGATTTAAGGAATTTTAGTTTGGAGAGGTCAGTCAGTATTTTTTTTTATTTTTTGGTTTTTACATTTTTTTCCTGTTTTTATTTATTTATTTTACTTCTGGAAGAAATGCAAAATCCCAGCTGTTATAAGTTTCCATTTTGATGGAGGCTTAATGCATTAATATGTTAGCATTTTATTTCCGGCCATTGTGAATGAATTTGTGTATTGATGCCCTTTCGCTATGTGACAACACTCTCTTGGCCAACACACCAGGGATTGAACCAGGCACTTTCAGACTTAAAAGCATAAGCTAAAGCTCTAGAGCTGGGAGTGGGTAACAACTAATATCCCCTGTATATTGCGCATGAAGGGAGAGGTGTAACACACTCACCAGTAGGTTACTTACTCTTTTGGTTCAAAGAAACCTTGTCCCAAGTGTCGAAGGCCATGGGTTCAAATTTCAGTGAAGTCACCACTTATGTGATGACCACCCTTTTCACTGGTATACCAGAGATTGAACCAGGAACCTAAAAGCATAAGCTGCTACAGCTTGAGCTAAAAAGCCACAGATCAGTACCTGGAGGCTCTAACAAATAGCACTGGGAGGATATTTTCTGATGGAACATTTTTCCACTGGAAAATACCAATTTGTCAAAATCAAAATGTTCCCTGGGAGTGAGTTGATTGTGATGTATCTTCCAACAGAGGAAAGGAAGGTTTTCTGTTGGAAACCTGCCAGCTAACTGTCCCACTTTTTGGCAGCCTACCTGGTGGACTGCCAGTCGGAGTTGTGAACCCAGGACTTCCATTGTCCATGGCTCTGGGGCAGCGCACAAGGCAGACTGTTTTGGAGCCATGGACTCCAGGACTTCCAAGCTCCCTGCAGCGGAGCCAGGACATGTAAGCTCTGGGAGACCTGGCTAGAGCACTGCAGTAAGGGACCCTTGTAAGCCCTGGAAACTTTCAGGGCTTCCCAGTTTCCTGCAGTGGAGTTGGGAGCCATGGCTGAGCTGAGAGCCTTGGTGCTTGGACTCCCAGATAGCATTTCATTTTGAAATTTTCAAAATGAAATGTTTTGATTATTTCAAAACATTTTTTCTCAGAATTTCCCTTTTGTGGGAAATTTTGAAAATTTCTACTTTTCATTCCTAAAGAGAACAAATTTATTTTTGAAGGTTTTTGGAATTTCTCATCAAAGGGAAATTCCAACTTTTAACCAGTTCTAGTAGTAACTCATATCATCTGCACCACAACTGGCTAAACCACCAAGGGGAAACAAAAATAAAAAAAGGATCTTCTGCAATTGGAGAATTGCAGAGCTACATAGAATGATTCTCTACAGCTCCCCATTCTGGATTTATTTGTCTACAGCAGATAACCTTTTGGAGTTTTTGGAGCCTTAGGACTTGGTTCCCAGCTGGTGTAAATCCATCACTTGGAGCTACACCAGTTTATAACAACTGAGGATCTGGCCCATAAGATTAGAGTAAGTCCACTCTGCTACCTCAAGAGGGATGGAGAAAAGTGAAAAGGCCCCTTCATTAGGAGCATTATTATCTATTATATATGCAGTGCTCATAAATATACTAGATGCTTCACAAAACAAATACAGACATGACCCTTGCCCTGTAAAGAATAACATCCAATTTTAGTTATGGCAAAATAAGAGGCAGTAACAAATAATAGTGGGAGATGGGGTTGGGAAGGACAGGGATCACGGTGATAAAACCACTCTGTTAAACAGTTATAGAATGTGTATATCTTGATAGTTCCCTAGCACTAAAAGTGACAAAATATGGAATACAAATAAATAGGATGTGAATTGGATTTTAAACCTGGAGGTTAATTGCAGGTGTAATACAAATCTTAGTCATTCTCCATAATGGTTTTCTTTTTAAGATTATGCAGACGTTTCAGAGAATTATGATTGCCCACAAGAGGAGACTGATTCTTCGGAGAACACCTTACACCCAGACTTCGCAAAAGTAATAAACCTGACATTTTACTATGCTGTGCCAGTATAAAGTACTGTATGGGTCACATGTACCAAACAATTCCTAAGATGATTACGAACATAAAGAGATGTTTAAAAACTCAGCACATGTCATTTTGTGTTTTAAGGCCATGACAAAGCAAAAGAGGAAGTGGTTCTGTTATTTTCTATTAGAGCTCTTGGGAGTTTTATCTGAAACAGAATAGCTTTCAACCATAAGTAACGCTAAGAGTTTTCGGGCCATATTGTCCCCTAAAGTAATTCAGCGTAGCTCCTTTGAAGTCAATTTATTCAAGAAGTATTCATTCTCTTGTCTATTCAGCATCACTGAAATAGGAAACTTTGCCCCCAAGGAGGCAAGATTTCCTATATTGCCTGCAGAGTTCCAAGGAAACTGGCTGTGTACTGCTGGTTATCTTATCTAATTTCACTGAAAGTTGCCAGTAGTGTTGGGGAGAAAGGAGTATGTTTTTTTTCTCTGAGACTGTGGCATAGACTTCTCCATAAAGATGAGCTAATTTAAAAACAGACAAACAAATAAACACACACAGAAAGTGAATGGCAGCTACTTTTTGGTTATTTACCGTAACAAATGGCTAAAAAGCTATGATAAAAATATTATGTTGAGCTATTTTAAATTAATGCAACTGGCTTATGATTGACTATCTGATCTATTATCTAATGTACATCACCATGACAAATTTATCTAAAGTAGATGATAATATGATACGTATAAAGGACCAAAGTCTGCCCAGATATATGGGTGTCTAACTCCCCAGTGACTTCAGTTACGAGTGGCACATGAATCCGAGGGTAAAATTTGATCCAGGTCGTACTGTGTAATGTGCTTATGAAGCAGATTGACCTGAAATTTTCAAAATAATATTAAAGTATCACTGAATTCATATGTTTGAAAAAATGGAATCCAAATGTCTGTTTTGTTTTTAGATAAATTAATCAGCACATATTGGCACAGGAGACTGATAGTTAGAAGTTTGGGTTCTATTCCTGGCCCATCACTGTGATGCTTGGGCAAGCTGCTTAAGCTCTTCATACCTTAGTTTACCTATCTGTAAAACCGAGATAAAATGCATCTACCTTACAGGGATGTGAGGTTTAATTAAAGTTTAAGACACTTTGGGCTCCTCAGATGATAGCTACTATCAAAATAAAAAGTATTATTGTTCTAAATGAAGCATCAATAATTTTTCTAAGTTTTACCAACTGTATCTGGAAAAAATGTCTGTATACAGAAGACTAACTTATTAATTATTGCCACAGTACATCATGGAAACAGAAGAAACAGTGAAAGCTTCTCGAAATATGGAACGACTAAATCTGTTCTCCCTAGATCCTGATATAACTGTAAGTGAGAATTTTCTGTTTTAGTTTCTAACAGTATTCAAGATAGAGAGGCCCAAACTGATTTGGGTACCAAAAAACACCAGGGTTGTTTAGAGGTCAGCAGGCAGGTTGAGTACTTGCCTATGCAACAGTATTCCACATCTGTGTTGAACACTATTTGGAATGTTGCATCTTCTCCCCACAAACAGTGTTTGAGGTACCCATCTTGGTGATGGTTGCTGCTGATTTGTTGATTATGTAGCATTATTTGTAGCTGATCTGCTTTTTAGATGAGTGGCATTAAAAACTAGGGATGGGTGAATATCAAAAATGTTTCAATTTTGCTTCCACTTGAAGTCAGTGGCAAAATATTATTGACTTCAAGAAGAAACTGCACTGGGACCAAAGCTTGGTTCAGCTGGGATAAGAATACCAAAGTTTAGTTCCTTCTTTGAACTATGTCTCAACCTCCTGAATCTCCCAAACTGGACTGAAAATCTCACAAGAACAGGCTATCTCAAGATTCCTGGTACTTCCTCATGGGCTGGAAACACTACAAGAATAGCATTTTTCATGGTTATTCCCTATTTTGGCTTTTACTGCAAAGATGCATACAGCTATCTATTCAAGTGACATCATCATAGGACCTAATCACATCAGCCACGCCATCAGGGGCTCGTTCACCTGCACATCTACCAATGTGATATATGCCATCACGTGCCAGCAATGCCCCTCTGCCATGTACATTGGCCAAACCAGACAGTCTCTACGCAAAAGAATAAATGGACTCAAATCTGACATCAGGAATCATAACATTCAAAAACGAGTAGGAGAACACTTCAACCTCTCTGGTCACTCAGTAACAGACTGAAAGGTGGCAATTTTGCAACAGAAAAGCTTCAAAAACAGACTCCAACGAGAAACTGCTGAACTTGAATTAATATGCAAACTAGATACCATGAATTTAGGCTTGAATAGAGACTGGGAATGGCTGAGCCATTACACACATTGAATCTATTTCCCCATGTTAAGTATCCTCACACCTTCTGTCAAACTGTCTGAAATGGGCCATCTTGATTATCACTACAAAAGTTTTCTCTTAATTAATTAGCCTCTTAGAGTTGGTAGGGCAACTCCCACCTTTTCATGTTCTCTGTTTGTGATATATATCTCCTCTACTATATGTTCCATTCTATGCATCCGATGAAGTGGGCTGTAGCCCACGAAAGCTTCTGCTCAAATAAATTTGTTAGTCTCAAAGGTGCCACAAGTACTCCTGTTCTTTTTGATGGGAAGAAAAGTTCACCAAAGCTACTTAAGTAGCTTAGTTGGGGATTTGGAAGGTTTAGGTTGGTTTTAATTTATCTGAACATCTTTAGTAGCTTAATAGACATTAAACTTCAGGATTCAGGGCTTGTTACTTCTCTCATTGAATGGATGTTTTGCCAGTGATTTCATGGGGAGCAAGACTGGAAAAACAGCCACCTTTATGTTGTTGAGAAATAAAAACCTTTCCTAAAGCTGAAGTCAGTACATCCCTCATTCAAGTCAACTGAAATATATGGTGATATCAACATATATTTATCTTGCAACAGACTAGAGGTCTGAAATCTAATAGATGTCTGGAGTTACATTCTGTAGCGTTTTGGCTAAATTCATCTAAACAGAGAAATAAACAATTCAAATTGGTCTCCCTTTTTCAAATTACAAGAAATTGATCACCAAGATGCTGAACTGGAATTCAGGGGATGTAAATTCAGTTCTGAGCTCTGCCACAGACACCCTATGTGACCTTAGGCAACTTCTTTGCCTCAGCTGTTAATCTGTAAATTGGGGGTAATAATACTGTCCTTCCTTACAGGGGTTACGTGGAGATAGATCATTAATGTTTGTGAGGTGTTCAGATACTGCAGTGGTAGATGGTGCAGATAGAAATCTTATTTATAATGTTGGATTTCTTTGTATATACTACACATAAATAATCAGCCCAAATTGTTTATTCTAGGCCTCAAATCTTCAGAAAAAGGAGTTTCCAGGAACAGATTCAGTGATCAAACCATTTGAGGAAAAGGATGCAAAGAGGATCATGATAACTTGTAAATCCCTCAGTTTGAATCTTCAGGCTTGTGTGACTGAGAACGAAAACGATCCTATAACCAATGTAAGTTATGTATATTTCTCTGCATACGCATGTCTCTTTTCCTCAAGGATGGGACTCCTTAAGTCTGTATTACTGCTACAATAAGGAGGTGTGATGAAAGCCCCTTCTCCCATATTTCAAGCTTGCTCTTCCCTCTCCCTGTGTATATGCATTAGGCTTTAATCATGTACTTAGGGAGTTCTTAGACCAACATTCTGCGGTTAATAAATACATTGAATGTAGTAATAGAATATTTTGGAGGTATTGATTCTTTGTGGCGCTAAGTGCAATAGAAAGCAATCTGTGAATATCTAGGTCAGCCTTTTCTTCACTGTGCATTATGGCCCTGATCTAAAGCCCATTGGCATCAAGACTCCCATTGACTTCCGTGGGCCTTGGATCAGGTCCTATAAGCACACAACAAGTTGGTATCAATGTAGAGCGGGCAGCAGTCCATCTGATAAAGCACAGTGTTTTGTAATGCTAATGTGCTCCCTCCATTGTACAAAGTGGGGCCATAACCCAGTAACTCCTCACTCTGACTTGAGGAGATGTGTATATCTGTTGTGATGATGGAAGATTATTATTGTATTAAGATAGAAAATAGCTCTGGATCTATATACAAGCTAAATGAAAGTAGACAAACTTTCATTTTATTGATTAAAGGACTTACAGTCTTTATAAATCCATGAAAGCACAATAAATATCGAGGCACAAAAGTTAATCTATAATATCCTCCTCCCTCTCTTATTCTTGTAAAAAGAGAAAACCTAAACCATCAATGCACAACCCCTGGATCTTGTTATCTCCTGCTTTAAGTGGGAGAATTTCAAATATTTTATCAAATCCATTTTCTGGCAATTCAGCTTCCATCCATTACATATGAGACATTGATTTTTCATTTGCAGGTCACCACTACAGTGGGTGCATAGTCAGCATACAGTGGTCAGTATTTTTACAGCAGAATGAAAGCAGCAAGGGAAGTAAAGTAATGATGGTTGTAGCAAGGAAATGTAATAATTCAGTCCAGAACTATGAAAGCATAGAACTGATTATCTGCTAATGCACCCTGCATCCATAATTTCATGAAGGGTCAGATTCTCCTGTTCCACAGAGCGATGCAAAGCAGCTGTAAACTGTAATGACTGCAGCCAAGCCTCTTGTGTCAGGACATTTGTGAAATGTGTTTCTCAGGGGATCTGCTTGATAACCTTAACCCTTATCTGTGAACTTGTTGGTCTGCATATTTCTCATTCACATTTCTGATTTAGATGCCAACTGTACTGTCAAACCCAAGTTTTCAGAAATCATGAATCAGGCCCCCCAGACTCATGAAACTGGTTTAAAAATCCAATGAGATAAATGTTTGGTCTTTTTATTTGCATTCTGTTTTTTAAACCACAGTGTTCATGTTTTCATGCTTTTCTCTGCAGCCATGAAGGCTAGATACTTTTTTAAAAAATGGAATCTGAGATTTTGACCTAATCACTGAATTCTAGGAGCTGGCGCTTTAAAAAAAAACACCAAATATTGCAAGACTTGTGAGAAAACGGCAACGTTGTGTCAACAGAGTTCTTTATTGTTGTTACTGCATGCACATTTGCAAAGGGATGCTATAAAGAGAGAGATCATGGCAGTGCAGCCACTAGCCACATGTAGGAAGGTCTGGAGGCAAAGCACGCTGGCAGGAGCTCTTGGAAATATTTTTCTTGAGGTAGGCAGAGTGCCTCTTAGGTTGTAGGGAGAACATGAGTGCTACGACGTCCTCCCAAAGCGGTGCTGTGTTTGCTTTACCCTTTGTGATTCCAGCTCTGCTAACTAGCTTGAGGTGCAGGCAGAGCTATCACTATGCCCTACCTCTCCCAATCCTTTCTGGGGAGTCTAGCCCTGCAGGCAGAGCTAAAGTTGCAGCCCTGAAGTTCAAGGACTAAGAACATGTACTGCACCTGCACAGTGGTGCAAGGGTGGGAGAAATTTCTTGCACCCTACATCCTCTGGTGGATCTGCACAGTCTGGCACATGGGACATAGAACTGATAGGTTTTAAACCTCTTGCCTTCTGATAGTATTATATTTTAATCAAGTTGTTTCTGATTTTTATCTCTAGATTGAGCCTTTTTTTGTGAGCGTGGCTCTGTTTGATATCAGAGACAACAGGAAAATCTCTGCTGATTTTCATGTGGATCTGAACCACACCCTTGTTACACAGATGGTTTTAGGTTCCTCATCTTCATTGGAAAATGGCAATATTGAAACAATGGACACGAGTGAAGAAGAACCACCAGTGGTCAAGGGATTTCCAGAGACATGGTTGAAGTATCCAAAACAGGTACTTGATGCATGACTTGTCTCACTGATGTTTAAATGGGATTGTTCACACCACTAATGGTACTTGTGTTCCGTATGCACCATAAACATCCTAAACTGGGTTCTAATGGCTCCTTTGAAGCTGTCAGTATCTGTTATCTAGAGAAACCCATGAAGTGTGCAGCCATTTTTATGCTCAATCATTGACCTCTCCCAAACCAGCCAAACAAAATCACAACTTAAAAACTCATCTAGATGTCTGCATTACTCTCTAAGTTATGACACAGTCTTGTTATTGTAACTCTTGTCCTCCATTTACTCTCCATACCTGTTTTCTTTTCCATGTTATTAATTTATGTTACATCTGTTTTTAGGCTTTGATTCAGGAAAGCACTTAAGCATGTGCTTGGGAGATTTCCTGAATAGGGATGTTTTCCTGAACTGTTCCTAAGATTGTATGGTAATGGGACTATGTCTTCAGTAAGTTCTGTAATTCATCTTTATGCAAAAGGATGTTTGCCTTCATAGTCGGGCCAAATTCCAACATGAAGTATCACATTCTGACTCCAGAATTTCCTTATAATTTCAGTTGTAGATACTATTACACTCATGTATTAAACTGCATACTAATGAGTAAGTGTATGGCTGTGACCAAATTTCTTAAAAAATAGGCATCTATGCTATCTCATTAGACACATTTTTTAATGGAAAGAAAGCTCCCTGGTTACCTGGGATATCATAGGGTTGCCCCAGTAGTATATGTAGTAGAGATGGTCAGAAACTCAATTTTTTGCCATAGAAAATTCTGTAAGAAAAATCTCCTTTCAAAAATTTTCAACCAAAAAGTGTTGGGTTTTCTAAAGGAATTTTCAACATGACATGAAAGAAGGTTAATTTTGTTTCATATCAAAACAACATTTAAAAATGAAAACTTTCATTTAGTTTTGAAATGTCAAAGTGATAAAACATTTTTCATTTTATTTCAACTTAAAATATCATTTCATTACATTTTTATTTCTGGAAACTGAAAAATTTAAACTTTCATTTTTTGTTTTTTAAATTAAATTCTTTTTATCCTTTCTCTCACTTTGGTACTTTTCCCTCCTTTGTCCAATGGGAAATGGAGGAGAAGGTAAAGAAGTGTGTGAAAGTGGGGAAAGCACGAATTTTCAAGCTTTTTTTATTGTTTTCCAACTGGAATCCAAAAACTGAAAATAGATTTTTTTTTTATTTCCCAAACTTAAACAAAACAATATTTTAAATCAAAATGAAACAAAACATGTCATTTCATTTTAGTGTTGATTTGAAACAACATTTTTTATTTCCAATTTTCCAATTAGAAAATCAAAAATAATCCTCAAAATTGATATTGTCCAGTGAATAGTTTCAATTTTAGCTACAGTTTTGTTTGAAATCAGCTCTGGTATGTTAGCATCCAGAAATACAGATTCCTCTGTATGTAAAGCAAAAGGGGAATCATAATGAAATATACAAATTATCTGATTTCTTGTATTGAAAATATATCACTCTGGTATCATATTCAATATTCTCATCTTACATATGTGTACATATCACAGAACAGATAACCAGTCAATATGAGCCCTTTCTGGGATTCCAAAGGAATTCAAAAGTGAGGCATTAATTAGACTTCCCCTTAAGTTCAGTTAGACTTCCTTAGTGCTGCTTATGTCCGCTCAGTGACTTGAGGATAGGTGTCAGATAAGCCTGCATGCTATAACCAACCCTCTTCAATGGTTATCTAGAAGAAATTTTAAGAGCCACTGATGGAATCCTACAGGATGGTGTACCCATCGGTGGTTGAAAAATTTGTCATCTGTGCTTTGCTGATGATGTTGACTGGATTGGATCATCGGAAGAAGAGGTGCAAACATTGCTAGAAAGAGTAGAGATGGAAGCAGAGACTGTTAGGTCTAAAGATATTACATGGAAAGACAAAGATGGTGGTGACATCCACATCTGTTGAAAAGTTGAAGATATTTCTACCCAAATTTGAGGAGACATTGGAGTGTGTTGAGCACTTCAAATACCTGGGTAGCTTGACCACATAGGATGCTGAACATAACTTAAAGGTCTGACATAAAATTGGAGTCACTCCTGCTGCCCTAGTGACATGCAGCCACATTTGGAGAAGCAAAGGTATTACCAGGAAGTGCAAAATGAAATTGCTGCAGTCTCTTGTCTTCAGCACCTCACTTTATGCGTGTGACACATCGACACTAAGGAACCAGGACATTAAGAGGCTTTCTGCCTTGTAATTGGAATACTGCAGGTGATTGCTGAGCATTAGCTATACCTCACACACGACTAACGAGGAGGTGATCGCCCAAATTTACAGCATAATTGGAGCGATACTGGATATCATCAAGATGATCAGACAAAGAAAACTTGAGTTGTGGGACATCTGGATGGGCCAGAGAAGTTTTTCAGGGATTGGTGCCAGGTGCGAAGGGCAGAGGGCACTCACGGCAAATTGGTTTGACGAGGTGGTTGACCGGATGAGATGCAGCATGGCACACTTCTGTGTGAAGACTGCAAAATGAGGAGGAAGATTGCTGGCCAGTGACTCCTGTGTATTGTGTTTACTGTTCATTGTGATGTGACTCTGTGGTTGCTTTGAACTATGTGAGAACATATGTATGTGAGTAACTCTAAGGGAGACTAACGAACCATAAAGGGTTTCAGGTCGTGTAAAAGATCTAACATTTACACATCATTTCTGTATTTGGTCCTGTGAGTCCAAACAAATAAACCTAAGTAAGCCTAAGGAAGTGAAGTCCTGGTGTGTCTGTTAGTGTAACATCTCCATTAAGGGGACTAGAAGAAAGTGCAAGATCCACCAACGCAGAATCCTTCTAGGTTCACTTAGGCTCAAACAGGAACTTCCTTTCCACCAGCTGGGGGCATTGACAATGTCTCCACTTGTTACAGAATTGTTATATGCTTATTAACTGTACTCTCTTTTATTTATAGGCTCTTTTCTCCATAAGTAACCCCCATTCTGAGATTGTTTTGGTGGCAAGAATAGAAAAGGTGCTCATGGGAAATATTGCCAGCAGTGCTGAACCTTACATTAAGAATCCAGACTCTAATAAGGTAATGCAATATAAACATAAATTGCCTCTTTGATTGTTCATGTAAATGTCCTCCTGTGGGTGGAAAACGCTGCACACTATATTTGCAAGGCTTACCAGTTTATGGATGCTTAATTGTACAAACTCAGTTAGGATCCTCTCCTATTGAAGTCAGTAGCAATATTCCTATTGACTTCAGTGGAAGTAAGATGAAGCCCTTAAACATGTAATGCAGGAATAAACTTAATATAGTAGATGAAGTTTGCATCAGGACATTTGGCAGTAGAACTGAGTTGGTAAACCCGTATTCTAGATGAAAGACTGTGTGATTATAATCTATGAATCCATTTGTTGTGTACTACTTGTGCCACTGTTACTCCAGTGGAGTGAAATTCACTGCCCCCAGCCCCATACAAAGCATAAGTAACTACCCTTTGAGAGGAGAATTAAGTGGGTGTTTGGGTCCAGCCATCCACACGCTCCAATCTAAAGGCAGGCAGCATGACTACATTGCCAATGCTGCAATGGGCTAAAATGACGACTGCTTCCATTATAAAGTGATTTTGGGACACCAGATCCTAGCTAGTCTCCCGCTACAGTCCCAAGTAGGCGGGTGTACAGTCTACTTCCATGGTGCACATGGGGTGCAGAGGCTTCTTTGTGGGTACGTCTACACTGCATCTGAGAGGTGTGATGCCCAGCGGGGGTAGACAGTTTCACGCTAGCTCAGCTGGCACCAAGCCTCTAAAAATAGCAGTGTGGACATTATGGTACTGGAATACCTCCCTGCTGCAATGTAGACATACCTTGTGTGGCCAGTTCACACTTGCCCTTCCTTCACACAAAGGTTTAAGAAGGGCTCTGTATGCCAAGGAGATATTCACTCACTCTGATATGTTGACTCTACATAATGATTAGGACATGAGTGTGTTGCACAGAGTGCCACAGCAGATTTGAGGTCCCCACTTTATAGGTTTCAGAAAATGTAATTTCAATAAACTGGGAGAGAGACACTGAAATTGTAAACGCCTAAAGGTACCTGCCATTGTACACATTTTCCTGACGTGTATTTTTTTAACTATTTCAGCAAAAAAAAATTCTTCTATTGGTCTGCCTGTACAATTTTAAACTCCATGGTTGATCTGCTACTTGAATTTACATGCACTCAAAATGCTTTCCAGACACTGAAGGGCCAAATTCTGCCTTGACTTAGGCCCTATGAAACCCCATTGATTTTAATGGGATTGCACAAATTATAAGGCATGACAGAATCCAGGTTGACATCTGCTGGCTGCACTAAGATATCCCAGCTCTGAGTCCAGAATATCAATCTTCCATTTAGTTAATTTAAACAAGAGCACCCTGGTACCATGGAAGGGATTAATTTGCAGGAAGAACATGTAGTATTTCCAATTCTGCCCTTTTCCAGTGGCTTCCACCAGAGGGAAGGGAAGACTACATTTCTTCAGGGGCTGCATAATAGACCCCCCAGCAGAGGTTGCTCAGAGGATGTACTCAAACAATGCATCCTTGGTTACCCTGTTCTCACCTCCTCCCATGCCCAGTGCCACCCCCTGCGAACCTCCAGCAGAGTGCAACTTTTCCCTAGTAAACTTCTCCCATGATGACGCTCCACCACGCTGGTCTGATTTTGTTAACCCTTCAGATAAACACTACCTAAATTGCATTTCCGGTACGCATAAGCCACCTTTGTTTCAACTTGCAATAAGCCTGTTTTCCAAGAACAAAAACTATGATGACGGTACTGATGGTACTAATGGTATTTATTTTTCTTTACCTAGTGTGCTCAAAAAGTGTTAAAATCCAACAAACAGTTCTGCAGCAAGCTGGGGAAATACCGTATGCCATTTGCTTGGTCAGTGAGGTATGTATATTGATTACTTTTACATAACATTTCTAACAACATCTTACAGCTCACCCTGCTCTTGGATTCATGTACTTTTATTATGAGTCACATTTTCAGCTTCAAACTAATACTTTCTACTTTATCCATGCCCCTGGCTGACCCTGGTGGCTTTAATCAATTCTGTTTGGTCCCATTTCCCTTTATTTACATAAATGAATTACAGTCACTTTCCCATTAAATATTAGTGTGGTAGCATCTATCACTCATACACATGCTGAAGTTGCTAGAAAGCATCAAGAGCAATGTCAATTTATGAGAATAATGCAGGAGTAGCCCCACTCTGAGCGATTTTGTGCTAAATATTCTAAGAGAGGTTTGAAAGTTAAAATTCTTTCAGGAGACTTTTACAAAGCTAATTCTTCTTTGAAATGGGAATTGAATACCTGCCTAAATACAGATTTAAGAGCCTATATGTAGGCACCCAAGATTGGAACTCTGGCCCTATGATTACACCTGTCGAGTTTTGAGAAACATTGGCCAAAGATCTGGGGGTTGCACAAGCTCCCAGTAGTTCCAGTGCCTATGCCTTGGTGGTGGTAGAGGGGGAGAATGCCCTGGAAGTGCTTGCATTGTTAGCATTCTCAGTAGGCATTAGAAAGCTGGAGGTTTATTTATTTTATCTTTGCAGTAATGATTAATGACAATAAGGTGTTTATTGTTGTGTCCCCTCTCTTGTAACCCTTACCCCATGATCTCTACCTCTTCTTGTGGTTGCTTCCTGTCCATTTTCTTTCCATAGTACATCTGTGCATTCTACTCTCTCTCACTTCCTCATCTCTCCTTTGGGACTTTTCCCTGCTTTCTTTGTTGCCTTCTCCTCTTCCCAGGTGTCATGGGGGTGTGCCGGCCCTGGAGTACCCCCCTGCAGGCCAAGTGTGGCACTACAGATGTTCCCTGTCTGTTTCCTTCTGCGTCGTCTCCCACTTTCCACAGGCCTGTGCTGGAGATGTCGCTTAGCCCTCCAGCCAAGTCACAAACAAAACTTAACCCTTTCTAGGGTAATAAAAGTCCAACTGAAAGGTCCCAACAAACAAAAAGGTTCTTTTGCCCTTCAGCGGCTTCTCTTCAGCTCATCCTCTGGGCTCTGTTCTTAGCCCCTTTCTGGGCTTTGAGAGTCTCTGTCCCTGGGTTAGAGCATTCAGCGCCCAACCTGACTCCCTGGCAGTACCATTCTCAGTCCCTTTCTAGGATTTGCCCCCAGAGGTAGGGCTGGCCACATCTCCCCTTAAAGGGTCCAGTCACCTTGTGACACCTGACAGCTGGATTCCTGCCTTCTGCCTTGGTTTTCTCCCTTCCTGTATTGTTCTCCCTCCCCTCTGTCTCTATTTTTCTTTGATTCCTTTCTTCCTCCTTTTCTGTTTTGTTCTGTCCTCCTCAACTTTGTTCTACTTCTCAATATTTTGCTGCCCAGAGACCACTGCTCCCCATTGTGTTTGTAGTATATGCACCGAGTGGGGAATGGAACCTTGGTCAAAGGAGTACGGTCTGCTAGAGATAGAAGCACTTTTCTTCTATAGCTCCTGTCCTGCCATTGTGTTTCAGGAATGGTAGGACATTAAATGGAGGCATTACAGAAGCAGTTGGGGAGCAGCAGCCCCCCACCACTTGACAGCTTTCTAGTTGAGGGACTGTCAGTGATAATCAGGGGTAGTTGTAATGCACATGATGGGTCTGGAATTGGGGTACTCCTATCTGACTTGGAGCTGTGGAGCACCGAGAGGGCACTGTCGCCACCCCCAGGGCAGATGGAGGTGGTGATTCTATAATATAGAGGTGGGGAGGGAGGCAAAAGAACAACAAAGCAGAGCTATTAGAAGCACTCATTTATATTTTATTGGCAGATAGTTTGGTTGATCTCCAATAAAGTAAGGAGAGGGGTTTACTTGTTCAAGGAAAAGGAAGATAATTTCTTCTGCTGTACTGTACTCAGTTCAAGGATGCACATCAATATTCATCAGCTTTATATAGCTAAAGGACCATTCATCAAAATTACATGAATAGTTGTCCGTTGGTTTGGCAGAACAATTTCAGCATATAAGGGAAGGTACAATGGAGCTATATGCAGGCTAGGAGCCAAACCTAGGTGTTTTTTTTATTAACTCTCTCCTGCCTAGATCATTCCTGCTGCTGTACCACTGGTTCCTTTGCACAGGAACTACTCACTGCAGGCATGGGGAGGGGCAGAGGCAGAGCTGGCTGGTCACAGGGGGGAACATGTGCAGGGGCTGCATTGCTCCAGTGCATTGGATAGCTTGAGACGCACGGTGCCTCAGTCAAGAACTCCCACCAGAGCAGCACTACTCTGCAATAACCCCATTGTGGGTCAGAACCTAGCAGACATGATCGAGCCCTTCATCAGCATCCCTAAACCCTCATTCCCATCGAGCTAAGTGGGATGTGAAATCTCTTGGCACCTTTCTGGATCAGGTTGTTAGTTTGCAAACTCAGCTCCAGTCTGGGTGCCAGGCTCCTCAGATAGAGCATGAGGAGAGTTACCTGCCTTGAGAAGGGATTTTATGAAGCCGATCAGCTGAGAGGGGAGCCCCCTAAGCTAGCAAGGAGAGAAATGCCAAGGAGCGGGGGGCTTAAGTGCCTCAGGATCCTCAGCCACAAACCCTCTCCTGGAATTAGGCATCTAAGCCAGGTAGCGATCGATCTATCGGGGATCAATATATCGTGTCTCGTCTAGACGCGATATATCGATCCCCGAACGCGCTCCCGTCGACTCCGGAACTCCACCAGGGCGAGCGGCGGTAGCGGAGTCAACGGGGGAGTTGTCGATCCCGCGCCGTGAGGACGGGAGGTAAGTCGAAATAAGATACGTCAACTTCAGCTACGCTATTCCCGTAGCTGAAGTTGCGTATCTTACATCGACACCCCCCCCCCCCCCCCAGTGTAGACCAGGCAGTAGTCCATGCCCTAGCAACCAAAAGCATCCCTCACTGCTGCTGGTGCTCGATATCTCTCTTGTGTTCGCTCTGTGTTTCCCTGTGCCCCCCAGATGTCTTTTGATCAATAAGGCAGTCTGCTGCCCCTCCACCTATTGGTTGCCTGCCTCTGGCCCTCCTGATGGGGGGGCTGGCAGCTCACAGGTGTTAGGCATGGTCTGAGCACACCCACAGGAACAGGACCCACAGATGAGATAGGTGCACCCCTGCTTAATTTGAGAATCCTATTTTGGGGCCTCCAAGTCTTTGGTTTGTTTTAGAGTTCCAAGCTGCTCATTAGCTGTGGGACAACATCAGCACTTAGATGGTTTTCCAAATGCTGACCCAAGGAAACTTCGGTGCCTACAGGACTTAAGTGGTAGCTGAAGGCTGCTTTGAAAATGTCAGTGATGCCTAAATGTTGGAGTTAAGTGTCTAAAGAGGCAGATAGGCATCAAAGTACCTTTAAGGATCCGGACCCGAGTCACATTCAGCCTGCCCTCACTGAGTGTTTTTATCAATGAAGAATCTTGATACTGGTTCTACTCTTGGTCTGCTCCAGGAATGACAGTGCTTTGGCCATCTCACTGTGTAGTCTCGAAACTACAGACTTCTTTTCCACTGTGAAATATGCTGTGGTCTAATTATTGGCTCTTCTTAAACTTCTCAATCATTAATGAGAACATGGCAGATGACACAGTGTAGCAGAAACACATTAGTCCAAGTTCACTACATTCATAAACACATTGACAGCACTGGTGTTACGCCGGGGTTGAATTTGGTTCAGTAGGTCACGTTCTGCTCGCATTTATGTCAGTGTAAATCCAGAGTAAATCTGTTGCCATACTCTAGTCTCACAGTGGTATAAGAACAATGAAGTGTAACAAATACTGATATAACAAGAATTTGATCCAGTAAAATATATTTCTAATTTTGTAGCTTGAAAATAGATATTTCCACAAGACACACATCACACCACACAAAAAGTGTTTTGACTATGATAAATTGCAAAAATCTTGGGTTGAAAATGTATTTTCCGCTTATTTATTTTCTGGCATTAACTGTGCTCCCACTAAATTTTCCCTTTTGAGTTATTATAATTTAAAGCAATTACAGATGGCCACAGTGTGATTTTTACATATTCATTCACTCAGCCAAAATATGACAATTGCATATGTGTCATGTTGTCATTCATGCAATTGGAACTCTGATTACTTTATGTAATAACAGAATTGTACGCAGCCTTCAGGTTGCTGACTCAGGTTTGTGCCAGGATTTCTCTCAGGCATTGGTCTCATTTGGTGCATTCTAGATTTTTGCAGGTGACTGTAATTACACTATACATTAGAATTACAGTGTGATACATCAGCCTTCCATTCTCAAACCTGCCAAGATTTGTAGATGTATGTCTGGTCTCCATTTAATAGATGTGGGGAAACTTTACTCACTCAGATTAATTTTTACACACCCCTCTTGCTTCCAACCCCTCTACCTACACAGATTTCTTATATGAGATCCCATAGTGTGAACCTCTTAACACCTTGCAAGGTTTGGGGCCAGATTCTCAGCTGATGTAAACTGACATAGCTGCTCTGAAGCTAATGAAATTATGCTGACTTTTACCAGCTGAGGAGCTGGCCCTGTATCTCTGACCACACAGGCGAGCCATCCCTCCACAAAAAGAACAGGAGTACTTGTGGCACCTTAGAGACTAACAAATTTATCTGAGCATAAGCTTTCGTGAGCTACAGCCCACTTCATCAGATGGAACTGATGCATTCCTGGAGCAGACCACGAAAGCTTATGCTCAAATAAATTTGTTAGTCTCTAAGGTGCCACAAGTACTCCTGTTCTTTTTGCGGATACAGACTAACACGGCTACTACTCTAAAACCTGTCATCCCTCCACAGTATCTTAGCCAACCCTTAAGAAATGTCATACCAAGTTTAATATTCAATTATGACCTTTCTACAGATATTTTAACCTGTAGAACCAGTATAATTACAATGTAATAGCTAATGAAATCCATACTAAAAAATTATATAGAAATGTTTAAAAAGTTAACAAAGGATCTCATTATTTATTAAATTCTATTGATTTCAGAGTATTTTGTATAGAACAATATTAAAGTTTAATTCATTTTTAGCTATCTAGGACTTTTCCATAAAGGAGGCTTCTAGTACACAAGCAACGATCAGTAGAGAGTCAAAAAATTATTATTCAAATGCTAAATTCCTGGATTTTATGAGAGTTTTATGATCCATCCCTTTCTTTGAGTTAACTCAAATTTTGTTCAATGTCAGCTGTCATTCTGAAATACCTTTAGATTGCTTTCTATGGTTAGGGATTCTCTCACTCGCAAGTGTGCCTCATAGAATAAATCTATCTAGCAAAGTTTAAGACTGAAGTTAGTTAACTAGAGCTGTAATATACATAATGCTTGCTCCAAAAGCAATTCTTCAGCTTTTATTAAGCCCTAATAACTGAGATACCAGTATGATCTGGCAAGCAAAAAGCCACATAATTCTCTTCTCAATGTATATACATAAGCCCCATTATAACATGCCTAAAGGTGACCAAATTTTCTAACTGCACACACAAAATATGAATAGTAGCAAAATAGGCTGTAAAGATGGTTTATTGCAAGTGGGTGATTGTGGATGTAAGAATCTATTTGCATACACAGTTGCCTATTTTGTTCATTCACGTGCGTAGTTTTCATGCAGTTGTGGTGTTCAGTGATCACTCAGGGCTTGCACGAAATCTGCTTTATTCTGTGTTTGGTTACAACTGGCTGTGCATAACAACAAGAGCTTCTCAGTGCCCTGAAACTCTGTCTAGGGAGCTCAGCCCTTAAAGGTGCAACACCTAATTCCACAGCAGTTACCCATTTGTATCGATATATTTATATTTTGTATGCACTACTTACATACCTTTTCTTTTTAATCTGCAGTGAAAGTCCATCAGTATGTTTGGACTGACATCTCCACCTTACTCTTCTAGCCTGGATGCTTTTAAGGCCCCAGTTGCTAGATCAGTGGCTCTCAACCTTTCGAGACGACTGTACCACTTTCAGGAGTCTGATTTTGTCTTGTGTACTCCAGGTTTCACTTCACTGAAAAACTACTTGCTTACAAAATCAGACCTAAAAATACAAAGGTGTCACAGCACACTGTTACTGAAAAAATGCTTACTTTCTCATTTTTACCATATAATTATAAAATAAATCAATTGGAATAAAAATATTGTACTTACATTTCAGTGTATTAGGACATAGAGCAGTATAAACAAGTCATTGTCTTTTAGTTCGTACTGACTTTGCTTGTGCTTTTTCTGTAGCCTGTTATAAAACTAGGCAAATAGCTAGATGAGTTGATGTACCCCCAGAAGACCTGTGTGTCCCCAGGGGTACGTGTACCCCTGGTTGAGAATCACTGTGCTAGAGTAACTGAATGCATGGGGAACAGAGAGTGAGGAATCTTCCCCCAGCCCACGGTGACTCTGCAGTCACTCCACAAATTCTAGTGGTACAATGGAGGCTACTTATTGGCTATTTTGTACATCTCTCCTGATAATCTGGAGACCTAAGGCTTTGGAGTATATAAACAATGCTAAAAGCATTTGATAAAACAGAGTTAGGTTACTTCCCTGTAGTTATGGAGAAATTTAATGTTGGTCCCTCCACCTCAGCTACATGAGTTATGACATTGTACATTTGTCCTTATCAGTTGAATCTTCTCCTCGGAGTTTACTCTTTTATTTGGTATCTGGCAATGTTTCCTACTGACATCAATTCTTTTTTCACTGGCAATATAACAGAGATGTAAATTAAGGAAGAAAAAAGGCTGGCTACATGGTTTGTGGAGTAGCCCTTTGTGTCAAAAGCATTTTACTTTCCTTAAGCACTTTTTTTTCATGATGCAGTTGAATCCAATGTTCTTTGATTGCACAGCTGCTATAGTATCCAATCCAGCCAGAGTGTTTGAACCCTTGGGCATTTCAAAGGGCACTGGAATGTCTTAATTAAATCCTGAAAGTGGCAGTGAGCAGAAGTGGAAATATCTGAAAATGATTTCCTGTGCAATCAAAAGCTGATATGTATTTTTCTTAATTATAATATGATATCCCTTTTTCCATTTAATCTCCATTGTTTCTAGCTAGCATTTTAAAATTGGTTATTGTTTATATAACTAAAAGTGTAGTTAGAACTCTTCAAACATGTATTGAGACAAGTTACACCAGTTTAAATCTACCCTTGTGATTCTGGAGAGGTACAAAGCAGATTTAATGGGCTGGAAAATCTGGCTCAAGGTCCCTGCCCCAAAGAAGTTACATTTTAAGTCCCCACTCCTGCAAAGTCTTACAGACATGCTTATTTTATCATAAGCAGAGCCAATGGCTCAGAGCTGAAGCTTTACAAATTCAAAAGGGAAATAAGGTGCAGTGTGTTTTTTCGGTTTGGGTTGTTTGTTTGTTTGCTTGTTTGTTTTTACAGTCAAGACAATTAACCATTGGAGCGATTTACCTCAGGGTGTGATGATTTCCCCATCACTTAAAGTCTTTAAAATCAAGATTGGATGTCTTTCTAAAAGATATGCACAGTCAGAAGTTATAGGCTTGATTATGAATGACTTGGTGAAATTCTGTGGTCTGTCTTTTGCATGTGGTCAAAATAAATGATCAGAATGGTCCCTGTGAATCTATGAACTTTGTGCACTGTGAGTAATCTTATTGAAGTCAGTAGAACTATTCACATTGCATAAAATTAAATGTATGCCTAAATCTTTGCAGGACTGGGGCCTACATACATAAATAAATTGTGTCCCTTTGGAACACCCAAAAGGGGTGCTTTTAAGGATAACTATATCCCCTAACAAAAACTAAGAATAGCATGTTTGCTTTGAAGTATATGCCCTGGAGAGCAATTTTAACTATCTGTTCCCTTTGACTTTTGCACAGAAATTCATACTGTGTCATCAGTGATGAACAATTATATGTGAATTGAAAATTCTCAAGTAATATGACTAAGCATGCCCGGCTGTCATCAAATATATGTTGCTTTCTCTCTTTGTAGACCAGTGTTTAAGGATAATCAGGGAAATGTTGACAGAGACTCCCGATTTTCACCATTGTTCAGGCAAGAAAGTAGCAAGATTTCAACTGAAGATTTGATTAAATTAATAGCAGAATACAGAAGGTAAGGAATGGGTCTGAGGTCAGCTTGGGAGAGGCCTAAAGTTATAATGCTATTTTCATTAGTGTCCTTGTTCGCATTGGTGAGTGTGCCAAAATAGCCATATTAAATGCATGTTTTTCACATTAGTCCATTATCTGCTGAGCTTTCCAGGATAATTGGAAAGGCATTTGATATTAGTACACATTATTACAACTAAAAGATAGTGATTCATGGAATAAGTGTCCATTAGGGAAGGTGCAGGTGGAGGAACAAGCAAGAACACACTGAGAAAAGGAGAAATATACATGAAAATGAAAATAACCCTTTAACAGCTCTCCTATCCCTCACTATTGTCTATAATTGGGAACTCCACGGCAACCTGTATAGTGGACATTGGGAGCATCTACTTTTCTCAAACGTTTGCCAGTACGTGAATTATGAAATGGTGATTTGGCTGGTTCTCCTCTCACACAAGTGTAAATCAGGATTAATTCCACTGAAGTCGATATATTTGCACCAGTGTGAGGGACAAGAGAAACAGTATCTTCCTGTCGCCTCACATCCCAAAAACAACCCACAAAAAGCACATTAATTTGATAAAACATCACAATTCCATTTGTAGGAAATTCTTTTAGGACCTGATTCAGTGCTGATTGAAGTCAATGGAAGGACTCCCATTGTCTTCAGTAGGCTTTGGATCAGGTCCTTAATCCTCATAGTTATGAGTATATGGCAGTACGTTCACTGATATCACCAGTAAACTAAAGTGTTGGCCATAGATGCATTAGTCAGCTTGTCTGAAGCATCTCCTTTTTTAGAGAAGAGCAAGGCCACTTTGGCATCCTCAGGGCATCCATGCAGACACAATGCCTGTGCCTCTGTCCCCTCTCAATATGGCTGCTGCAGGAGCCAGGATGCCCTGAGCTCCCCACAAGTGAGTGTTTTCAGAATTCCCATTAAAGGGGGGCATGTTTCAAATTGTAGAGCAGTAAGCTAATTGAAAAGCAGTAAGTTAATGCTGATGAGGTCTTCACTAATTCACATGCAAAAGTCCATGGGTCCTTCATGACTCTCTTCCATATGACTCCTTCCTTTCCCATGAATCCCTCTCCCCACAAAATCCCCAAGGAAGTACTTCCACAGAGAAGGCAGGAATGAAGCAACACTTCTCACTTCTGCACCCCTTGGTTTGGATCTGCTGGAGTCCAGTCACCCTTGGCTGAGGAGACGGTAGGGAGAATATGGGCCGAGGGTTTTGTGGGAGCATATGAAACTATTTTGCAAGTAGGAATTAGTTGGAAGTAAGATTTTCTATTAATCAAAGTGTTATTTTGATTTCATATCTATTAACCCATTTTAATTTTATTAGGAAAGTAATGGACTTGTTTTTCTTACACAGTTTGGTAGTTCTAAATACGGTTTACCTTTCACTATTTCATGATTTAAATGACTGGTGATATTTCATTTCATATTGCTCTCTTAAGTCAGAAATTACATCCCCTCTTGCATTCTTTACACCAGCTTCCTAAAATGTTTTCATTTCTGTCATTGCAGAGCAGAGAAGATTAGCAAAATACAGACCATACCTGGCAACCTAGACATTGCAGTAAATTGTTTCCCTTTGGAACACCCAAGTATGATTCAATTTTATAATTATTCTGGGTTTATAAAATTTAATGTGAGCCTTTAAAATTAATTGTTGCTTTGTCACAGTTCTGGAAGACAGGAAAGAAGGAACTGTAATTTTTAGTTTTTAATTATTTGGGGGGTTTGTTTTGATTCTTTTTTAACCAATACATATTAAACTGTTCTTCATCTTTTTCTATGCCTTGAAGTAACCTATTTTGTATTGTAGAAAGATCATGTCCTGTGTTCATTTGATGAGTCACAGCCTGTGCATGTGAATGGGCCTGACTCAAAGTGCACTGAAGTCAATTGAAAGACTCTAATTGACTTTCGTGGATTTTGGATCAGCCCCTGTAGGAAGTGTTGTTATTGTAGTTATGCCGAGTCGCCGAACCCAAATTTATTTCATTTGTTCTCTTTCTACTTCAAGGGCCACCTCTCTCTGTGGCCCAGTCTTGAGAAAAGCTCAGTACCTACCAAAATGGTTTGGCTGACTTGATTTTCTTTTTCTGAGTTTTTTGTTTCAGTTGGGGCATTTTGGATGTTTTTTACCTTTTTTCCTCGCTTTTTTAAGGCTAAATTTAAAATCAAAACACTATTGAAATGAAAGGTTCATCTCTTTTGATTTTGTTTTCCCAACCAAAACTATTCATCAAATGGGACATGAATTTAGCTAATAATTTCGGACCCTGAAAAATGCAATTCAGTGAAAAAACAATTTGTTAAAAATATTTGCCAAGCTTTAGTGAGGAATGAAATTAACAGCCAGTCATTCTGTTATGATACAGTCACTAGAACACCAGACTAGCTGAGGCATAATCAGGCAACCCAGTAGGGAGGTAAGATTCTTAAAGGATGTAAAGCACTTCTCTCTAATTATATATGTTTTAATTTATACTTAGCATTTTATATTTGCATCAATTTTGAGAAATTTTCACATAAAGTTTAACTACAAAATAACTTCACAAAAATGTCAAAGGTATTTTTTTAAATAAAATTAAGGGAAAGTTCCCCATTTTGTTGCAAATATCACTGTAGGCAAAACGCCCTCTTTCACACAGATTTCTGTGATATGTTGTTGCCTAACTCCATATTCACTTTTGATATTGGGTTTTTCAAAGTGCATGTGGAAGTTTTTTCCCCCAAGGGTGCTCTACCCCTACTCTGTCCTAAGGCCTGCCCCAACTCCGCCCCCTCCCTCGAGGCTCCGCCTTCACTCTGCCTCTTCCCACCCACTGCTCCAACTCCTCCCCTGAGGCTCCTACCCGCAGCTCGCTGCTCTCTGCCCTCCCCCGAGCACCTCCCCCAGCCACCAAACAACTGATCCTTGGTACCACCGAACAGCTGTGGCTGCTGGGTGCTGAGCATCCACTATTTTTTTTTCCGTGGGTGCTTTAGCTCCAGAGCACCCCCAGCATCAGTGCCTATGAAAGTTATTGAAAGTCTGTGGGAGCTGGCCTAGCTCCCATTGGCTCCATTGAAAATCCCACCCTGAACTATTAATAACAGTTTTAACAGCCCTTTGGCATCAGAAAATTTGCCTTCCTCTAAGGGCCTGATCAAAAGCTCACTGTAGTCAATTTAAAGAAACCTCTTTACTTCCGTGGACTTTGGACCAGGCCTGAGAGCAGCTCCTTTTCCGTGAAAATTTTAATTATTCTTAGTCAATGCTAAGGAAAGTTAATGAAAAGAGAGTTGGCCAGCAATCTTTTTAAAAAGTTCCCAGTAAGACTGTCTCTCTAAGAACTGACATTTCACTGCTGAGGATTAGCATCAGTTTGCATTAGACATCAGAAGGAGAATCTCTGTTTTAATAATGCTTGATTTACAATATGTCCAGCAAGTGCCTGAAGTACTGAAAATTAGGAGAAGATGTCAGTGTTTAACCTGATATAAAAGCCCTGTCCCCTCTGCTGACTGATGAAAGGGAGCCAAACATATGTACATCCTGCAAGGGGAGTGTTGGCAGCTACATGAGATGTCCCCCCTATGGTATATAGCCACAAGTCTCCCTTCTGCAAAATATCCATGCATCTGCCAAACAATTCACAGAAAGGAAGGCGGGCCAGAGGGTGGGGTAGGAAGGCAAGCAATAACTGCTATAGTTGGGTGTTCCCCCTTTTCTTTCAATTAAATTCATATTTAAAAAAAACAGGGCTCTGAGGCTCCACTCAGTGGAGTCACAGAGAATAGCTAGTGGCCTAGTAGTCAGTAGCAACATGGCCAGACGTGTGTGTGTGTGTGTGTGTGTGTGTGTTTGCATTGAAAACTACTTCATAGACTGGCTGGGATTCACAGTTCCTAAGGGGTGGTGATGGTGGGGTAGAATGTTCCTGAGCCATCGCTCTTTAAAAGCTGCAGTGTTTTTGCATTATTTTCTCTCCTTTATGGTTAATTTGACACAGTAGGGAAATATATGGGTCTATATCACTATATTTTGTGAGCTGCTAGAAATGCAATACATTTCAGGGGAGGGGCTGGAGTCCTCAAGATTCTGTGTTAGTTTCTATTTTGTTGGTACCCAGTTTTACCTGTCTCTTTCTGAGAATCTAACAGAGACCATCACTGGTATAACAATGGTGCAGATATTCAAACATGGAGATGGTCTAATTCTAGAGCTGGCAGAAAAAATTGACTTTTTTTTTCTGAAAACTTTTACAAAAAGTTCATTCCTTAGTTTTGTTGGACATGTTTACGTATTTCAGCAGAGCTCTTCCTAACTCATTTAAAATAGAATGAATAGGTTGAAGGCAATATCCCATTATCCTCTTAAGGCCTTTCATTCCTATCTTATATATGGCTTGTTTCAATCAGAAATATACCTATCACTGCTGCTAGCACAGTGGGGCTAATCATTTGGAGGCAGTAGAGCAATAATGTATCCCCTTCTCCAGAGCAGAGTGCCTGGACTCTGTCCAGCCAAGTGCTCATGGAAAAATTACTGGACTCTACTATGCAGGCCAAGACATCCTAATCTGGGATCAGAATCTTCCAGGATGATGGAATGTTAGTAATTTGGGAAAGAACTCTCAAAAGCCTGAGTGTGACCATTGAATTTTTCATTGGCTGATGGATGGATTCTTGAGGTCAGCTAAAGTGACCAACTTCATGGAGCTAATGAGAATAAATCAGATAAAGAGCCGCTTATGGTAGCCATTGGCCCATATTGGCTGGTCAGTACTAAGGGAATGTAATTCAGCTATTCACCTTTGACACTACTGGTATTGATTAGGAGGTAAAGAACAAAGGCTTCCATGAATGGCACTTTCTAGCTTATTTCAGGAATACACCTGACAGCTATGAATGAAAATGTCTGGGAGCAAGCATGAGAAATTGACTGGAAGGAAGGCTGAACCCTTTAAGTTTGTTAAAAAGAAAATATAGTAACTGATCAGAGAAACAGCCTTCACATCTTGCTGTTACTCAATAGTCCCATAGAAGTTTTATTCCAGCCTGATGGTGGCATGACTTCTCATTGTGGAGGTTCTGAAGGGAGCAAGGGGGAGAGTTAGGATGTAAAAGAGGCAGGAGAGCTTGCTTTCATGATCTGACTACCTCTTGGTTGGCTCTAGAGTTTGCAGGGTTGAGCCTCAGGTTGCTTTTCCTTGGAAAAGGAATCAGTGTCTCTGACCTCCTTGGACTTGTGTAGTTCAGACAGCCATGGATATTTTCCTACTGAGATCGAGCTTGTTGCTGATTTAGTAGCATACATTGGAATACCAATCTGTGCTTTTGTGACGTCTGTGCTGAGTTACTCTGCTGTCTGGATGACAGCAGACTTATGTTCATCAGCTATCTCTTGAACTGAATTCAGATACTCTGATTCTCTGATGTATTAAATCTAGTTCTAAGTAACGTATCTCTTGATTTAATTGGCTGCCGGTTAGATAGCAGATGAACTTTAAAAAATAAATGAAAAAATGGGCTAAATAGAGATGTTAACTCCATTAGAAACAATCTATTTTAATGACACTTCCGTTGCATTTAGAGCTATAACTTTGCTGAAATTATAAGAGTTGGAATGACAGTACTATGCTTTGTCTTGGATACTGTATATTTAAAGGTTATTCAGTGCTATATTTAACTTAAATGTAAATCAGTGCAATTACTATAGATTTATACTGGTGTAAAAGAGGATAGAATTTGGCCCTTTGTGTCTCGATATTGGATATTACATCCTACATACTTATTATTAGTGTATTTATAAAATGACAACTTCATTTTCTGATTGATTTTTTTTATTTTATTTTTTTGAAGATTGTGTAACATCATCTTTTATCCCAATCAAGCCATTTGATAATACAGAGGAGCATCAACCTACGGTGGAAGTGGAGGAATTTGTACAAGAATCAACAAAATATTCCCGGCCTTATAGAGTGTATAAGAACCAAATATACATCTATCCAAAACATCTCAAGTACGATAGCCAAAAATGCTTCAGCAAGGTACAGTAAGCAACAATTTAGGGGTCTGATTTTGCCACCCCTAAGTCAGGTTGAGTTGTCCCTTAATGCATGAGTGGTCTCACTTAAATCAGTAGAACTACTCATCATAGCTAAAGGGAGGCAGAATAGGATCCTAAATTACTGAACTAACTTGCAGTCTATTTAATTCTTTATGGAACCTTTAAGCACAGTAAGAATTTCCTGGAAGTGATTTTACAGATTAAAGGAACCTTTTATGCTATGAAGGCATTTCAAAGAAGATGTAGTGCAGTAATTGCTTTTTGGGCAATATTCTAGGGAAATATATTTTAATATAAATATGTATACAGATGATCCTCTCTTAAATGAACCTTGAGAGCTATATGCATATTCATACTGATTGAATATGAATTAAACTCAAGACAGGGCTAAATACTGGTCCCTTTATGCTTTACCTTTGCACAATGCATTTGCAGCCTAGTTTGGTGCCTGCAAGTTCTTCTCCTTTTTACACATTTATTTCCAGTGAGTTTTGGGGGGAGCTGCAAGTATTTAGGATATGACTCATCATCCATAGTGTTCTCCAGATTTTAAGTAGAACCTGTTATATTTCACACATCTTAGCTTGTATGTATTTTAATGGGCTAACTATTTCTATTTACACTTTTAATGCATCACTATTGCAGGCACGGAACATAACAGTGTGTATTGAAGTTAAAAGTTCAGATGAAGAAGGAGCCAAGCCAATGAAGGTGAGCCAAAGACAAAGTACATTCACAGAACAATGTGTCAAAAGAGGTTTCGTATGAAACCCAGCAATTGAGAGTATTCTAATCAGGAACATTTAAAGTGTGAATATTGTAATATATTCTAAGTTTCCATAACGATCCTTTTTAATACCAGTTATTAACTATATCAGCTGGAAGTGTCAACCCTGCAGTGCTAATTCAATGATTAGGCAAAAAAACTTGCAAAAGATGGCTACTTTCAAGAAAAGGGCACTGTCATCATATACAGTATGTTTTGAATTAAAATGTCACGCTGTGCCTATACTATACCTGGAAACAGCCTTAGGAAAACAATACAGTGTTTTCAATATAGACAGCATAGGACACAGATTTTATTTTTATTTTTTATTTATTTGTTATTTGTATCATCTTAGCACTTGGGAGCACCAGTCATGGACAGGACCCCATTATGTGAGGTTCTGTACAGACACAGAGCAGACAGTCCCTGCCCCAAAGAGCTTACAATCCAAGACAGACACAAGCATACACACCCCTAGTACAAGCCTGAGTTTTCAAATTTGGATGACTAAGCCAGGTACCTCAATCCATGTTTAAGCTCCAAAACGCCTGTTTTATGCACCCAGCACCAGTCCTCGACGAGCGTAAATGACTTTCGCTTCATTGAGTTCAGTGGAGCTATTCTGATTTACACCCACTAAGGATATGATTTGAGGCCTGATCCAAAGCCTATGGAAATGAATAGGAGCCTCTCCATTGTCTTCAATAGACTTTGGATCAGGCTCTTGGATTGAGGATTTTCCAAGCTGTTGTGGGGATTTGTTTATTTACATATTTCCCATTAATTTTAATGGAACACCTGTCTAAATCCCTAGATTGTCTTGGAAATCTCAGTACCTACATCTTTATTTAGCACTTAGACATTTAAGTGCCTAAACTGGTATTCAGGGTCCAAATTTTAAAGCAAGTGCACGCTTGACTTTGGCGTATAAATCTCCACACAGTAAGGTGCCTAGGTCTAAATCTGAAAATCCGGGCCTTATTTATCATCATGATGAGCTACTTAAAATTAAAGGGTGGGATTTTCAAAAGCACCTAAGTGACAAAGGAGCATAACTGCCACTGAAAATCCTCCCCTAGATATATTGTATCTAATATAGTAGATTAGATACAAAGAACAGCCCAATTTGTTGTTTTACATATTTTTCACATTTATATGGTGGTTTTGCCTTTGTGAGGGCTGCAGGGCTAGTTCTACTATCCTTATGTTTGTGTGTAACCCACTGGTAGGTGTGTGTTACAAGTCCCCATCTGTGATGGAAATGAGTTGGTTCAGCCCCCAGCTACAAAGCCTTGGCTTTTTAGCTCAAGCTGTAGTAGCTCTGGCTTTTCACCCTGGAGGTCCCCTGTTCAAGCTTCAGCATATCAGCCAAGCTGGTGGTCGTCACATCTGCATGGCTCACTTAATGAACAGCAAAATGTAGATTGTGCATGTTGAGGTATGATGCATTAAGATGGCATTAAAAAACTAAGATTATCTATGTTAGATTTCCAAACTAATTTTGTGGTATACAGAGTTGTTCAATGAATACGGCACAAAAGTGGGAGAACCCGCACTTCAGTTTTCCCATACATAAAATAAGCTAATCAAGAATCATAGAAGCTAGAAATAGAAAGGACCTATTAAATACCCTGGTCCTGCCAATGCAGGGAGGAGGAGTTGTGCCTAGAGAACCCAGTAAAGAATTGGAGTTGAATTGTGTAGGATGAGTCCATATAAAGGAAAGACACTTTTGTAAACCCCTTTTGAGCTATGGCTATATTACTATTATCAGCATGCCTTGACAACTGAACTGAAGTATAATATTTTAACAGTGTATTTATGGGAAGCCTGGCGGACCATTATTTACCACAGCAGCCTACACAGCAGTGCTACATCATTCACAGAATCCTGATTTCTATGATGAGGTCAGTCCATTCTTCACTGACTAGACAATATGACTATATGCATTTAATTAATGGCATAGAAATGAAAAAAAAAATTATCTGCCTGCTAGAAGTGTTCATATATCCAGGTGAGTGTGAATTTCATTAGATAGAAAGATTTTTACTCACTGAAATAAACACACAGCATGAAATAAAATCTCACCATTTCTCTGAACACATCATAATGGTCAGTCTTTCTGTAAAGTCTTTTGTGTACAGACTTAGTAATGATCAGTCCTGCTCTCTAATGTGTATGTCTGTATCAAAGGTCAAGATCTAACTTTAACTCTGTTTAACATTTTCATTACAATAGTCTTTAGAGGTAAAATTCCCGCATGATGCCCAGACGCAGCTCAAGCCCCTCCATACCATTGGAGCATTTTTGTGGATCCAGTGGCCTGAACACACCACATGGCTTCATCACACATAAAGTGGCTGTGGCACCCCACAAGCATAGCAACAGCTTTGGGGGATGTAATGCAGCCCACACCCTCAATTGGTGGGGGATAGTAGTAGCCGCCTCAACTCGTTTGCCTGCAAATGGACACTTCACCAACATAAAGCCTGATTCCTCAGGTGCAGGTGAATTGAATTTCACCTAACCAATCCAGAGTGCTTCATAGCCTTGAGTTGTTAGTGTTTTTGACAGCACACTAACAAAGGATTGTTGCTCTTCTAGACTTTGCACTTATGGTTTCAGTGTATACTAATACTGGTAATACTGTAGACAGCAGGGCCAGTAATCATTCAGCATTTTCCAAACAATTGGCTTGGTCCTGTGCTCTTAATTGGCAAAACTTTCCATTAATTTCAGTGAAATTTAACCTGAGTAAAGAGCACAGGTCAGGCCCAATGGGTGGAATTCCTCCAAATACAGAGTATCCATTGAAGCTCCATGTTAAGAGCTTAAGGGGGACTGATTTTCAGAGGTTCTGAGCACCTATTGACTTCAACTGGAGTTGAGGGTGCTCAGCACTTGTGAAAATCTGGCCCCAATTGGTTCAGAGGGCCTTATGCAAGCCCTCCACATTACAGTGAGTTTTTTTCCAACATGAACGAAATATTGAGTTCAGACTTCACCATCTAACAGAAATTGATTTGGGTGGGCCAACTGCACAGTGACCCTGACAATAACACATCTAGTGCAGTATCTAAAAGACCCTAGTGCCGCGTTTAAAGAAATTGTTTTAAGCTGCATGTTTAAATGCTCATTTCACTGCTATGTTTATAATATAGGTCTTTTCACCCTTAACCTGACATAACATCAGAAATATGTCCCAACCCAATTCCTAACTCTTACCTTAACTGCAGGATTAGTTTAGGTACAGCATTACTTCATAACTATTGTGCATAAGGGGTCTTATCCATTAGTCACCACCATAACACTTTTCAGTGTATTTTTCCCATGTCTTTCAATAGGTAAATAACAGCCCACCTTGACTTTGTACAGATTAGTGAACAATAGATTAGTTTTTCTTATTGTGGCCTATGGAATGTATGACTCATCTGAGATCATAAATAAAAGTTTTTATTTTCACGTCAGCCCTTGTTCACCTTCATTCTTTATTATAAAATCAGTTATGATGACATATCATTAGTATTTTTAACTTAAAGGGTATCCAGGCTGACTCACTCTCCTGCTAAAGGAGGAGTGATAGGGAAAGAAGAATGGTGACTCCTGGTTAGGGTCAGTGTTGAGTCTGATGGTGTGGAGATGATTGGTTCTAAGCAGCCTGTTTGAACAAGGTTCTTCAGTTTTCAGTTCTGTGCCGTTTCATTAGAAACACAATTATTCACTCAAAGGAAAGAGAAGAAAAACCAGTTTAAGTGGAAGTAATAAATGATGCCTCTCAATGATTTCTTTAAAAGAACAGCTGTTACACCACTAAAAAGAGCAACACACAAAGAATCAATTGCCAGTCAAAAGACCAGCTTTAATTAGAGATGTATAGAAAGAGAGATTTCTCCTTTAGAGCCCATCTCTTACTCCTGGTTGATTCCCTTTAAACTAAAGAGAGGTGTAACCTTTTACATTTCAGGTGAAAATTGAGCTTCCCACTCAACTCCATAAGAAACACCACATTCTGTTTTCATTTTATCATGTCACCTGTGACATAAATGCAAAAGCTAATGCCAAAAAGAAAGAGGCTCTGGAAACACCAGGTACCTGCAGTAGAATTACTTTCAAATAATTCCTTGCTAATGTTTGTCTGCATTATATTTATAGTGATATATGTTCATCTCAGGATTTCAGAATTTCTGTTTGTGGCTATTATTTACTATGATCCTATGAACCAAAGATCTTATGCTCAAAAATGTCATATTGATTTGCTCTTGTGTGCAGTTGGATATGCTTGGCTTCCTTTATTGAAAGATGCCCAGTTAGCTTCTCAAGAACATAACATTCCAGTGACAACCTGTTTGCCTCCCAGTTACTTAAGCCTTCAAGATCCTGCAAATGGAAAGGTATTAAGTAATATTTATATATTATTCAAAAGGAGTAGAGAGATTGAAGTTTGTGTGATTAAAAGGATAGGGCCAGCTTCTCATTTATGCCTTGCTGGCAATGTAAAGGAGCCATTGTGTGAACGATATACTGGACCATACTGCTTAGTGTGTTCATATGTATAGCATTCAATTTTTAAGTTAATATGTGTACCAACAGATCGGGGGCAAATTATGCCTCTTCCAGTGGTGTGCTGGGAAAAGGAGGTACCCCCTGACTGGCAGTGCATGGATAAACCATAAATTCTTCCCAGCTGCTGGAGGGAGCATGGTGAAGAGTAGTTTTTTATACAGTTTTAGCTGGGGTCCCTGCAAAGTCTGACTTGCACAAGTCCCATGATCCTTGGCATAGTGCCCAGGATTCCCCACTGACCCTTGAGTTGTGCCCTGTTAAGAATCCTCAGCAGGAGAGTTACGGGCAGTTTCATCTCCCTTTGTACTAACTGAGCAATGCAGAGAGAGTTGAGTAGGCCTGTAGATCTAGTCTATTGCTCTATGGCATTGACAGGATAGTGGGGGAACTCCCATTGTGACTGAGAGCTGAATATTTAAAATAATACAATATCCTGAGTGAACTTGCACATTCACAGAGCTGTGCAGCAAAAAGTGATGCAGAACTGAACAGTGTTGACATGTTTGTACTTTTATGCTGTTTGCAAATGTTGAAATAAGAAGAAAATATTTTTTACAGCAGAGTGGAAGTGACATTAAGTGGGTAGACAGTGGGAAGCTGCTTTTCAAAGTGTCTTCATTTGTTGTATCGACTGTAAATACTCAGGTGAGTTTGCATTTTCTCTCAGATATCCTTAACTCCTAATCAGAAATGTGTGCTAGAAAAAACCTGACAAATGATCTTAATATATCTTAAATCTTGTATGAATCTGTTTGTCTAACATTAAAGATAATCTGAATGTAGGAGGGCTAAGGAGAAAGGAGTGATAATTACCCCATTTAAGGAAAAAAGAGGCATTATTTTGGATGATACAGGAGGGTGTAACTAGAAATTTAAAAACATACTGATGTTGAGATCTGTTAGATCGGGGGAAAACCCCATTGCTCAGGACACTTAAAACAAGACTGGACAAAGCACTAGGAAATGCACTCTCTGCTGGTAAACGAATGGACTACGTGGTCTAATCCTTGTTGGGCTTTTCCATATCTGATTCCTATTATTCTGTGACGCTTTGTGTTGTGTAGTGTAAAGTGTAAAGTTCCTGGATTCTAACCACCATGACCAATTCATTGAGATGGTTAGCAACTATTTGAATTGCAGTTCCTGCTAAAATAGGTATTAACTTTAGCATATGTTTATCATTTTAGGATCCATATCTGAATACCTTTTTCCAGCAGTGCCAAAAAAGAGAAATGGATCTCTCCCAGCCTCTTACCTCAAGCTTTGTCATGTCCTGTAAGGTAAAATAATTTAGAAGTGTTACAAGCTGATGTAGGTAAATAAATTTTAAGGGCCAAATTCTAGTTCTCTTTGAATTTGCCTCCCAAGTGAGCCCATGGCCTGCTTATGTTTCTAAATTGCCATGGGCTGGATTGTGTCCCAAGACACAGATCATCATAAGGGCGAGCATGTTGCTGTGCTGCTCCAGGAGCAATGCAGAGAAGGAATTGGGGCTTGGAGAGCCACAGTTATCTTGCTGCTCCCCTCTTGCTCCAGAGAGTAATCATTTTTTCTATGCCCACTTCTTCCCCTTCCCTTCCTGCATGAGAGCTGGGGGTAAGAAATTGGCATGCAGTGCCACGTACCCCTGCATGCCTGGACCAAAGATACAGGTGACCCTCATAAGGGGGATCTTACTCCTGTTTGCATTCTTGTATGGATGCTCACTCCTACAATGAATTCTTAATCCATTTGGCAGTGGGCAAATCACATGGGCCCACCCTAAAATATGTAGCTTGGAGTGGAGCAGGAAGGAGCTAGAATACTGAAGGGCAAGTTATGAAACATATTAACTTCCTTGGTGATCGTCTAAGTCTAATAGCAGTTTATACGTTTAGAGATTAAAGTGAAGAGTATTTTCCCCCATTATTCCATTTTCACAATTGAGCTGATTTTATTAAGCTGCTAAGTAAAAGATAATTTTGCTGCAACTTTCCAATAGTGGTGACATTTCTCTGGGCAACTATTTAAAGATGTCGTGTGTGTGTGTGTGTGTGTGTGTGTGTGTTTCTGAAAGTGAGATATTTGTTTTGTTGTTTTTGTTGTTGTTTTTTATATGTAGTAACAATTAGTCCTGGTTGAATTTAAAAATTGTGACTATTTTCATGAATAAAAGCCTTAGGTTCAGTTTTCTCTATTATATAAGTTATTTGTGTATATTCAGATAGTTACTAGGTATTGGGGGAAATGTTTGTGAATACCCAAAAGATGCACAAATTTTAACATGAGTGATTACACATCCAGAAAAGCATGTTAGAAGTGAACTGTTCATTATTTGCTGCTTTTTGTCTGCCTCTTTATTATATTTCAATCATCCAATCAGGAAACAGAAATAAAATCACGTGAGCTAAGTGATCAATTGCACAACATAAATAGATAACAAATATTCAAAGTGAACAATTCATGAACAAACAATAGGCAGAAAAATATTTGCCCAAACTTTCGGCTTTTATTAACGAATCAAAAATGCATTTGCAGAAAATCAGAGAGCTAACTCCATAACAATATTATTTTTAATGAATAATTCAGTTAGCTCTGTCAGTTAAGATAATGGAGTGTCATTGTCCAGTCAGTAGAGTGTAACACTGTTTTTAATAAGTGTGATTTTTGACTTGGTCATAAATATTTTATCCAAAATGAAACACAGCGTAAGAGGTCTCAACCCAGGTATAATTTTTTCTCAAAATTTTTGGGGAGAAAATCTTTAAAAGTAAGAACTTCAGTCCTTCACAATTGGTATATATTTTCTACTTTTTAACTGAAAAAAAAAAAAAGTCAGGCAATAGTTTCTACTTTATAATCACAGAATAATCAGAAGCTATAAAATCTCAAGAATAAAAATTCAGGGTACAAATTCATACTTCAAAAAATATCTTGACATGGAGCATGATTCTCCACTGTCTTACACTGATTTAATTCCACTTACTTCTCTGCAATTACCAGATGGTGAAACTAGTGTAATGGAGTGGAAATTCGGGCCCTGGTGGATTGTGGTTTATGTCCGTTATCTATCATTATTCTGCCTTGTGTCTGATACAGAATTTACTGAAAATTGAGAAGATCCATGTAATTATGAATTTTCTTCCTGTGATCCTGAATCAACTCTTTTGGGTTCTGGTACAAAACGACGTGGATGAGGTTACCACTGCTGTGACAAGGTATCCAAAAATGTGTTATATATAATAGAATTAGGGCCAAATTCAATCCAGAGTGTGACTGTTGACATGAGTCTAGTTATGAACCAGGGCTGAACTTGGTGTTCAGATTTTAATAGAAGATGAGCTCATTATCCTAAAATGTTTGACTCCTAGATCTAACACAGGGCTTTGCAAGTAAGTCAAGTAACTAAGTGTAGGATATGACATCACATAATTGACATCACCCACAAAATGTATTGTTCCTATGCAGACATTGCTTTCTCTACTATTTCAAATCAGTTGGCAGCCAACAGGTAAAGGGGGTTTTCTATAAAATATATAATTCTCGGACGTACTGAGCACTTACTGAATGGTGCTTAGTGTCCTCAATTCCCTCTGACTTCCGTGTGGGTTGCGGTTGCTGAGCCCCTCAAAGAAAGAGGTCAGTGCCTTCTAGGATTAAATTTATAACTAGGTGAGTCAGGTCCAGTGGCAGAGTTAGAGTTAGTGGGGCCCTGTGCTCAGCTTCATTTTTGGGGCCCCTTCTTGGGACCCAGCCAAGAAAAAGAACATTCTCTATTATCTCTTCTCCCACCCCCCCACCCCCCGTTTTTCATTCTTTTTTTCCTTCATCCTCCTCCTATAGGTAATAGGAAGTAAATGAAAATCAAGTGAGGTACCTTGATTGTTTTTGTAGTCTAACTTATTTTTCCACAGACCACTTGAAAATCGCTGAGGGTCTCGGCGGATCACTTAATGGTCTTTCCAAATATTGTTTGTACCATTAGCTAACTATTGTAAAGCGCTTTGGATAAGAGTGCTTTATAAAAAAAAATGTGAAAAAACGTTGAGGTGTAAGGTCTGGCCAGGACTTCGTTTGCAGTAGGGGGCTCAGGGCTGGGGGAGCAGGATCTTGGAGGAAGTTAGGGTGCAGGAGCAGGCTGGGTGTTGGGGTACAGGGTCTGGCCAGGAGTTAGGGTGAGGGAGGGGGCTCAAGGCTGGGACAGGGGGTTGGAGTGTGGAACGCTTATCTGGGGCAGCTCCCGTTTGGTGCGAGGGGTGCAGGTGGGGATGTGTGTGGGGGGGGTGCAGGAGTCAGGGTGGGCAGGGGGCTGGGGGTGTGCTGGGTGCAGGAGTCAGGGAGGGCAGGGGGCTGTGGGTGTGTGAGGGGGGTGAAGGAGTTAGGGCTGGGGGTGCAGGAGCAGGCTGGGGATTCGGGTGCAGGGTCTGGCCAGGAGTTAGGATGCAGGAGGAGGTTCAGGGTTGGGGCAGGAGGTCGGGGTGTAGAGTGCTTACCTGGGGCAGCTCCAGCGAGGGAATGTGGGGGGGTGGGTGCAGGAGCTCCCGTTTAGTGCTCAGGGTTGGGGTGGGGATGGGAATGTGGGGGGTGCAGGAGTCAGGGCATGGGGTGTGGGGGGCTGGGTAGGTGTGGGTGGTGCAGGAGTCAGGGAGGGCAGGGGGCTGGGGGTATGTGAGGGGGGTGCAGAAGTCAGGTCAGGGGGCTGGCGGTGTGGGCCGGGGTCATGGGGGTGCTCCCAGCCCCCTGCCTTGAGTGGCTCACGGCAGGGGGCTGGGGGGGTATGTGTAGGGGGAGTGTGGGGGCCCCGCCTTTGCTCTTCCCTGCTCCGATTCCACCCCCTTCCCCAAGGCCCCGCCCCTGCCTCTTCCCTGCCTCCTCCCCCGAGAATGCTGCAGCCCCACTCCTCCCCCTCCCTCCTGGAGCGACCTAAGCCCTGGCAAACAGCTGTTTGGTGGCGGGGGAAGCGCTGGGAGGGAGGGGGAGGGACGGGAACACGGCACGCTCGGTGGAGGAGGCGGGGAAGAGGCAAGGGGGAGCTTGGCTGCCGGTGGGGGTGGAGCCTGCAGCAGGAGCCCCAGGAGCCAGCAGGACCAAGCTGCCCTGTGTTTTACTGTAAATCCGCGTCTGGTCAGGTCACCCCGTTTTGGACAGTTTGCAATGAAAACATTTATGCTGTAACAATGAACAACAGGGAAGGCATTATCCAAGTAATTAACAGTCAGCTGGAGAGACTTACCAAGGGTCTGTGACCTCCAGGAATGTCCAACTAAAATATTTGTTTAAAATAAAATATTTATTGCTATTATTTACCATGAGATCAGAAAAAAATAATAAAAAGAATAATTTCCAATGGATGGGCTGAAAAAGAAAAGTTGTACTGCATAGAGTTCTCTTTGTTGGCTTTTCCCCAGCCATTAAAGGCCTGGGTAGTAACCAGAAGACAAACACAACTTAATCCTCAGTAGTCCCATTGGGTTTATAAGTGTTGTTAATGTATTTTATATGTTTACTGAAGCTGGTTTGCAGTGTTTAACTGTTGAAGGGCGATTCATTGTAAGACTTCAGACTCCTGATGCTTGATTCCTCAAGTTGACTTTAATGGCAGCTTAGGGGGCTCAACACTTCAAAGGTTTTCAGGCCGAGTACTTCCATAGGAAGTTATGTCTGGAATGAATTTAGCAGTGTCACTCCCCTGGCTGGCAGAGACTGAGCTCATCCCAGTGGTGATGTACGCAGTCTCCAAGAGAAGGATGTCAAACCTTTTCCTATGACCCCTCACTGCCCAATTAATTAACACTAATGCCAATTGGGGAATAGATGGTTTTGTCCCAAGCCAGAGTTAGTGTTAGTTGGGGTGGCTGGAAAACACAGTAGTGAAACAGTTGGGTTAGAAACTGGAAGGGCAGCCTTTTTTTATGCTCAAACACTTGGCTATCCACCCACCTGGTAGAAAATGGCTTCTCGGTGTTTACCTCCTTGTCTGTGTACAGGCTTTGTAACAACATTGCTGATGTCAACAGCAACATGCACAGCTGTGCACTGGCAAAACGCTGGGCATGCCTTTCATTGTTTTGCCACTGTACATGTGTGCACATTGTATTTTGTTTTGAATAGCTTGAAGTAGCTTGCGTTGAACAAGTTAAAAGCTTGAAAAGCAGAACAAGAACTCAAAATTGTTCATGGTTGTGAAAAAACACTTTCTTTATACTTTTGTCTTGGTTACTGACTTGCCTTGGGCCCCAGTCATGCAGTGATTACTCTGTCTTTACTCTGCCAAAATTCCCATTGACATCTGAATAGTAGAGGAGTAAGGACTGAATGACTGGAACCTTGGTGAATAATTTGGTCATTTATTTATTTTTCAAAACGCCCTAATCACATTAATAATAATAAATGAGAAATAGTTTGCAAAACAACATTTAATAAAATAGAAGCTTTTTTGGATTATATAACAGGAATGCACAGAAAGCAACTAAAAAAAACCTAACTCAGCAATTATTAAATTGTGGTACATGGGTTGGTTTATGAGAATAAGAATCCATTATAGTGATACTGATTAACATATATACCAAGTACTTTTGAGTTTGGAATATGGTCCACTAGGTCTTAACATTTGAGAACTGCTGCACTAAATGATTTTTTTTTTTTTTTCATTCTTGCCACATAAAAACAGGCCATTTATTTTTACATTTTGCTGAATAAATACAGCGAATCCTGCCTTAACTGCTCACTCAAAGAAATGGGGTAGCTAACAGGGGATGTCTTCTAATAAAGATGGAGCAGAATTATGTTCAGTAACTTTGTGAATTCTGTGGGGTGATGTCTTAAAAACAGGGAACTCTCAAAAAACATGGCTTCTGGTGCAAGCTTAATTGTGTACAGAGAGGCTACCTTGTTGGAACCTCTGGCAAAATGACTCACCTGTCTTTGCAGGGTTTTTGCACTGTAGTCCTGCCATCCAGGTCCACTAGTGGTTCCTTTTGCTTTGTGACCCGGCCCTCCAGCCTGGTCACCTTTGGTCTGACTCCTTTTGGGATAAAACAGGATTTTCACAAATTAGTCCGAGGACCTCACACTGGGCCTGGTCCAGGCCCCGTAGTCCTTCTGGCCTCTTGTGTTTGGGGCCTTTCTGCTAATCTTCTCAGTGAGGCTGGAGAGCAGCAGTTCTCAAACTGTGGGTCGGGACCGCAAAGTGGATCACAAAAATGGGGTCGCCAGAGCCAGCATTAGACTTGCTGGGACCCAGGGCTGAAGCCCGAGCTCCACCCCCAGCCAGGGCAGCCGGGCTTGGGCTGCGGCCTCCTCTCCTCCAACCCGGGCGGCAGGGTTTGTGCTCTGACCGCCTCTTAGGGTTGCCAAGCCTCCTGGTTTTGCTGGGAGTCTCCCGGAATTGGGCTCTATCTCCTGAAGGCTACTGAAGCCAAATCGGGAGATTTTAGGCCGCTAAAAGTCCAGCGGCACAGCAGGGCTAAGACAGGCTCCCTGCCTGCCCTGGCCCCGCGCTGTTCCCAGAAGTGGCCAGCACATCCCTGCGGCCTCTGGGGTGGAGCCAAGGGTTTCCATGCGCTGCCCACGCCGCCGACTCCGCAGCTCTCATTGTCTGGGAACTGTGGCCAATGGGGGCTGCGGGGCATTGCTTGCAGGCATGGGCAGTGTGCAGAGCCCCCCTGCAGCCCCCCCCTCCCCCCAGGGGCCTCAATGATATGCCGGCCACTTCCAGGAACGGCACGTGGAGGGGGCAGTGCATGGAGCCCCCTGGCCCCGCTTAGCTCAGGTGGCTCCCAGTTGGCAGCACAGTGGGGCTAAGGCAGGCTCCGCCCCCGCAGCTTCCATTGGCCGCAGTTCCCGGCCAATAGGAGCTGCGGAGTCGATGCTCAGGACACAGGCAGTGTTCAGAGACCCCTCTCTGCACACTGCAGGGACGTGCTGACCGCTTCTGGGAGCGGCGCGGAGCCAGGGCAGGCAGGGAGCCTGCCTTAGCCCCACTGCACCGCCGACCGGGACAACCCAAGGTAAGTGCTATCCGGCTGGAGCCCACATCCCTCACCCCCTCCTGCACCCCAACCTCCTGCCCCAGCCCTGAGCCCCCTCCAGCACCCATACTCCCTCCCAGACATTACACCCTGCACCCCCTCCTGCACCCCAATCCCCTGCCCCAGCCTCATCCCGGAGCCCCTTCCCACACTCTGAACCCCTCAGCCCCAGCCCAGAACCCACACCC